CCCCCCCCGAATTAGGTAATAAAACCCTAAAAAAGATAACTTCGGGGGAATACTAATAAAAGATTTTCAACAGGGGTGGGAGTGATTTTCGAGAAAATGTATACCCCAGAAAATTAACATTTTTTTAATTGTAATGTTTTCAAATGGACTTGGGATATTGTAACATCGAAAACGTAAGACAGAATTTAAAGTCGATTTCCTCCCTACTTTTATTCAGGTAGAGGTTTTTAGGATATAGTTGTTAATCGGACATACCAGTCTTTCTGTAATATCTATTTTCTTAACTTACGTAATATTTGCCATACCAATTACAAATAGAATGTTCAAGTGAAGCCATCAAAATTTTAGTGTTATATTTACATTTTTATTTTTTCGATTTAGAAAAAATTTCAATGGAAAATATTCTAGAAATTTCTTTTATTTCCTGGTGGAAAAAAAAAGATTATTTTTAGCATAAGTTTGTTGATATAAATGATCAAAAATAGTTTTTTCAGTTTTCCCCCAAAATTATCAAGATTATTTTATTTTCCGGGAGTGGGGGATTCATTAAAATGTCTACCATGAAAAAAGAATTTTTATTGCCAATTATATAAAAATCTAATTATTTTTTTAATCTTTGAAATCGCAATATTGTTTAGTGAGCCGGGATATTGACTCTGCTGCTAAGTTCATCGGAGCCGGAGCCGCCACTGTCGGAGTCGCTGGATCCGGAGCAGGGATTGGATCCGTGTTCGGATCACTTATCATTGGATATGCCAGGTTCGTATTTATTTTTACACATAGAGAAAGATTGGATTCTCCTGATTGTGATTCTTCCTTACAAAACCATAAGTAATTTCCGATGAACACTACTACATCTTTGGTCAGAGGATTACTGCTGTATGTGCCTACAGCTTAGTGGTGTAGGATCAAAGACAAAGATAGACACTCAGCCATCTCATCTCACGAAACCTCGATTCCAAGTACATACACTGCAGACGTTTGTTTAAAACTTCGATTTAGGCACTTATTTTAGATCATATATTTAGTAGACATTTTCCCGGCGTACTCATCAGTATTAAATGATCTGAGAGATAGATAGATATTTCCCCCCTAAAATGTAAACAAAAAATAAGAAAGTACACAAAGGAAGCATTGGAAAAATAACTTGTTTTTAAGAATATGTTCACAAACAACCGTAATTTTTCTAAAATTGTACAGTTTTGTCCTTTTTCACTCTCTACTCTTGTGTTAATGATATATAAAAATTCAGAATCCCTCTTTCATTTAAAAGAGGGGTGGAGACCATGACTCAAACTTCAAAACGGCTGAACTAATCGGCTCAAAATATTTTGTGACAACTCACTAGAACCTAGGAATATTAAAAAACATATAATAATTTAAACCATTTACTATGATAATTGTCAGCTTAAAGAGCAGTTCTGAGTATTAAGAGCTAAAATTGTTACTAAAAAAGGGGTGCATACTCAAAGGGCCCTGGAATTATTATATTATTAAATAAGAATTTTTCTTCAGGAACCCCAGCCTTAAGCAGCAGTTGTTCTCCTACGCTATCCTGGGATTTGCTCTCTCAGAAGCTATGGGTCTCTTCTGTCTTATGATGGCATTCCTCCTCCTCTTCGCTTTCTAAACATCTCTGTGGGATTGTAGTTCAACATTGTTCAGTAAAAATGCACGAAATGTAAACCCCGTTTTTTCTCAAAATTATGATTTTAAACTTAGAGTTCAATTTATGTATCTCATGTTGTACTGATCAATAATATACTTTGTTGTACAATGTAGACGATTATTTCAGATGTGGTTCTTGTACACACTATCATGGATCGCTACTGTACTGCAAGTTTGTTTTGTAACCATGGCAATTGCTGCCGGACTTTATTATTTGGCCGAGTTGGTCGAAGAATTCACAGCAGTTGCGGCTAAGGTAATGTGGGGATGGTTTAGTTTACTTAATGTATCACAGAGTAATAGTATTCAGATCATGTAGACTACAGAGGACGTATTAAAAATTGTTAATTTTTTACCGTTGCTTGAAAAACTCGTACAAAAAGTTATAAAAATGTTCAACATAATGTTATGGAAAAAATATCATGCAAATTTGTCCTTAAATTTACGTTTATGACAATAACGCGTAAAACGTAGTTCCGGGTAAAAAAAAGAGCACATCTCACAAGAGCTAAAAAATTAGTTAAAACTGAGTCCGCGATTTAAAAGTTTTTTTTTCTCTTTCGTAATTCATTAAACCCAGCTTTAAGACCCAATCTTATGCCCAACTCTGACGACAGTTTGTATCAGAGCTGCGAGATCTTAGGCTCGACTTACTGAGTTAGGATCATAAAAATAATATTGATCTCGGTTGATTTGAGTGGGAAAATGGGCTCAATAATGAGTCTTGGTCTCGAGAAAACCCGGAATGCGCCAATTCCAGCCTTGAAAAACCGCCAAAACCAATACTAAACAAGTCATAATTTCTTAGACCAAGGTTTAAGGCTCAATCACAATGATAGCTTAGACCCGAGTCATATTTTCCCGATTTTTTTTAATCGCGGGCTCGTTTTATTATCTCAACTTTGTTCAAAATTAGATGCAACTTAAACCTGAAAGTCCAAGTCGTTAATAAGGCCCAACGGCAGCTTAGCAATGAGTCGTATTTTCCTGAATCTTTTAAATCGCAAGATCATACATTTTAAATTTTTAAGTTGTTAAAAAATCGAATCGAACATTCCCGTTTTAAACCTAATATAGAAATATGGACTCGTTTTTGCGTCAAAGTAAAAAATACTTATAATGCGACTAGAAAGAGAATCCTTGCAAGTGTATTTCCATTTAATTTATAAAGCCAAACTTAGTCAAACAAATAAATAATAAAACAGCGGTAGCAGTTGAAACAAAGCTTAGACTCCTTATTGCAGTTCAGATTACTAGGCTTTTAGGGCGCTTCGCGCCCATCTTCTATTTAAATTGTGAACATGTTCTTTTTGTTTACATTTTAAAACAAAGAAGAAAAAAATTTTGCGGATTTTTGAAAAAAAAATTCGCGGATTTTCAAGAATTTAAACTTTTTTACAAAATTAAAAACCTTTAAAACACATTTTTTTTTAATTTTTATCATTCATAAACCTTCCCTGTGGTCACGTGATATCCCACAAAAATTTGGGCCCGATCGGTTCATCCGTTTTAACGCTTATTGGATACAAACAAAAAAGACCGACAAGCCAAATTTATATATAGAAGAAATGAAAAAAATCTTGTACGAACTTATTGTCTTTAACAAATGGAAATACAAATATTTCATAATATCTTTGATACAACCCCAGAAATTACTAATTTCACACGAACTCATTTTATACAACTTTTTTCTCGGATCTTCGACCACTCCCAAGTAACATTTTATTTCATAAGAAAAATGATGTAAAAATATAAAATCCAGCAATTGAAAGGAAAAATAATGTCCCGTGAAAAGAATGTTTGAAGGCAAAATGTTGATAAAAATACGATTTTACAGTCTAGCCGCTCGTTCAACCCTATGTATGTCATTGTTTATTGTCTAATCTTTGTTTTGTTTAGGCGATCAGATATATGGTTTTATTAACCCTAGCAACATATATTGGACTCTTCTTATTTGAGAATATGCCGTTATCAATGATAGTGTGTGGTATTGTGGCACAGGTGGGTCATTTATTTCTCATTATTTCGGTTTATTTATGACACCTCCCCCCCCTTTTAACAAATTCATGCATAATCCCCTGTCTGCCATTTATTTAATACTAGGCTATTTTTCATTATGGCTCTTTCTGTAAGCATCTTCATTGTGTAACATTTTTTATAAAACAATAACAAATTAAGTTCGTAGAATTAATGATATTTTTTTCTTTGATTTTCAAATCTTTACAATCCGTTGGATCCGCAAGATTTTGGCTTCCTGGATCCGGATACGGATCCAAGGGGTAAAATATCAACTAAAAACTTCAAAAAAACTTTTTTACTCCTAAAACCCATGTCATAACTTTTGAAAAAAGAGAGATTATAAAATTTACTCATTTCTGAATGGTTCATCAAATTTAAGATAAAAATAAGCGAAAAAAAATAAAACAAAAAATATGAAAATTATATTTTGTTAAAAAATTCAGTAAATCTTGTAGAAATGACCTGGATCCGGATCAGGATTTGGATCCGGTTCCGCATCCAAATTAAATGGATCCCAAGCACTGCAAAAAAAAAATAAAAAAATTGTAATTCTGAGCATCCATAATCCTTCACTGGGGTCACGTGAGGTCCCACGAAAAATTTGGGCCCTTTTCGGTTCAGCCGTTTTGACTTTTAATGGTTAAAACAGAATTACTGAGATTTACGTAAAATATTATAAAGCCCATTAAAAATTGTCAAGACGACATTTCAAATTTTATTAGATGTCTCCTCAAAATCTCTGGGGTAAATTATAAAGAATAGAAAATTTTTCTCGATCATACTCGATGAATTTTACAATTCTAATTAAATTCTAATACTAAAATAAAAAAATAAGAAAAATAAAAGTTAAAATTTCTAGGTTTCTCACCTGGCTTTATTGTCGAGCTTCCCGTTCTTCTCGTTCAGCTCCCCCGCCTTCCTAGTCTCCATGCTGATGGTCCTCGTCAATCATTATCTTGCTTTCTCATTCTTCGGGGAGAACTATTTCCCATTTAGCGAGGTAGTATTCAGAAATATACGTTGTTTTTTTTGTGGGGGGGGGTAAAAAGGCCTTGTCAGGATTGATAAATTGTCAAAATTTGTTGATTTTTTAAATTACCAATAACGGTGGTATATATTTTATGAATTACACCTCTATCCCTGCGGCATCAAGAGAAGAGGTTTTTGCTTTTGCGATAATTTTACCTAAAAAATCATTTGATGTCCCCTCAAAAAAATTATTTAACGAGTATAGTTAAACTAACTAAACAGTTAATTGAAATTAGTGATTGATTACACTAGGTGATGGCGTATTTTACAATCTGTATCTGGTGATCTTGGGATTATTAATAAATTAATTTAATTAATTAACGACTAACGAGTTATTAATTGAAAATAATGACTGTAAATTCCACTGACACTCCATGCAGAGATGGCAATGCTTGATTTACAAGAAACCATAAAGAAATTCACAGAAATAAATACATTTCGAGTCTTAAAACAGCGTTATCTTACACAGTTTACACAGGATTCAAGAGTATCGTTGTTATTCTGACATTGCTATCTTTTCATGGAGTGTGCTAAGATTACGCTTACCGTCTCTTTATTTAAACTAGGTGATGGCGTACTTTACAATCTGTATGTGGTTAGTGCCGTTCTCCTTCTTTGTCTCTTTATCTGCCAACGACAATGTTCTGCCAACACACACTGGACGCTCATCGTACTCATCTCCAGGGGTAAGATGCCGGGGGATATATTTTGAATAAAACGGGCAACGCCGGACACTTCAGCTAGTTTGGTAATGAAATAAGCCCTATAACAACCATCTTAACATTGGGAAAATTTATTTTTTACGATGAGAGGTGATTTTTTATCAAAATATAAATCCCCTGGTGTAAGGTGATTATTCTGATCAAAATTTAATCGGGTTTGAATAACTTTTGAAATAATTTCGTTTTTTTTACCCTAAATTTGATAATTTGTATAAGTTCCCTTGTCACTTTTTTAGAGAAACCACAGTTGAAAATAATCAGTTTTCCATGTTAAGAACATGCCTGAGCCCGTTCTTTCAATAGATATTGGTCGTGTAGTTCACGTACTTTGGGGGACGATATGTTGGCCGCTAGATGTCTCATGCTAAATTCTTATCTGATAGATAGATAATTTCTTCGTACTCTTGACGACCAATATAGGAGACGCCAAGTTGTCGACCAATGTAGTTTATGGAAGGAACGCCTCTGATGTGATGCCATAAATAACAATCCCTTTAAATTATAATTTTATTTTTCAGGAAGACGACGTTGTGTCGAACTACTTCAGTAAGAAGCAGAAAGGAGTCGGTCTTCTTTCAGTTTTTAATTCTATCAAGGATTCTGTGACTCCTTCTAAATCTACCTTTAAAGCATTCTAAACCTAGCTTTAAAAAGAATATCTGTGATTAAAAGAAGTTTTGTTTTGGTAACTTGTACCATAGAAGTTTAAAATTCCGGGGACGCAAGTTTCAAACCTTACACAATTTGTAAGTCGAGAAGAAACCCGTCTGCACTCTGCATACTTGTGATAAAAAAAAGTTAAGGCTACTCTCAGCGTCAGGTTTGGAACTTGCCTCACCTAAAATGACGTAAACTTATCGTTGTCTAAATGAAAAAATGAGTCTTACGTATTCCATTTACCTAAGAATATCCACCGCAGGCCAATTTTTCTGTGTTTTGTTGTTTTTAAAAGTGTGGAAGGCAAGTTGTTAATTCTGCGGTTGGAAATTGTATAGTTTATACAGCTCTAATCCTCAGGGGCATTTTAGATATTCTTCCATCTTTGACTTTTTTTTACTTCAAAATCAAGTCCTCATTTTCAACCCCGACCATGACTGTAACCAATAAGCCATCTTTCTGATTTTGTGATTCTTCCTAGTTCATTGTCCATAAATTTTTAATGTGAATATTTTTCTTTTAGCTTTTTATTTTTTTTTAGAAATATAAATGCAAGCTTAATGATATTATTGAACAATTCTCTACTTTTGCTCACTTTGCCAATTTTTCCGACTTTTGTTTCGTCTGCGTGCATTTACGTTGTATTATTATTAATCAGTGCTTGAGTAAAAATTTCAGATTTTTTTTTGTTATCATTTTTAATCTCTACTATCGATTGTATTTTCCTTCTACAGGGTGTCCAAATAAAGGTAGAATTGTGTGTCAATAGTAAGATCAATAATATTTTGACATTCATGATATTTAAGCTTTTCGATAATATTATGACATATATCATGCTTAGGCTTTTAAAAGATGTGATATGCCATCTTAATTTATTAAATTTTTGACAATTTTAGTTAACTAAAAAAGATAAAATTCTTTCTTTGAAGGTACACAATTGGCAAACCACATCTTGGAAATCCCTTTAAAAAGATGAATTTCTATTTTATACGTTTATCGAAGATGATATAAAAGTTGTCACAAAATTCCCATGTTTATTTTGACACCCTGTATATAACTTGTTCCCTTCTACAGCTACGGGGGTGTATATTTTTAAGAATTCCCCCCTCTAATTGGACATCAAAAGGCAAGTTATTTTTCTTCATCCCTTTTTTGATACTTTTTACCCATTTTTATTCATTTCCCCCAATTTACTCTTTAAAAATACATACCTTACTTCTGTGGAAAAATACATACCTTACTTCTGTGGGAAAAAAAATAATTTTACAAGGGGGGGTAAAATAATTTTTCAAGAAAATATACACCCCTGCTCTTCTGTTAACCCCAACAATCTCGTAATAAATAATTATGCAATCTTAACTTTTTGTGATACCAGTTTGTTACCATGTGTTTGTAAATAAATTTGTTGTACCTGATTTCTTTTAGATTTACTTTTATAGATTGCATGGCTTTCACGTTTCAAACTGGAATCATTCAAACTTTATTTTCCAGTCTTTCGATTACTGGTTTCTACAAACATGTTAAGCGCTTTTATATTGTGGTCTCGTGATATCCCACAAAAAATTTGGGCCCGATCGGTTCATCCGTTTTAACGTTTATTTGATACAAACAAACAGACAGACAAGGCTAATTTATATATAGAAACCATTAAAATACATTACTTATGGAAGGACATTAATGTTTCCGGTCGTCTTAACAGTCTCATCCTTTGTGGGTAACTTTATGTAGATAAGGATATAAAATACAAGATACGTTAGTTGGTGGAATTTTCTATGAATTCTAATTTCGCCGAGTTTTAAAAAAAAAAATAATGCAGTGGCAAAGTTATTCAGAAGTTTACCATTAAATGCCATTTTAAAACAACAAAAATGTCCAGAATCTTGTTTCTTAATTGTGATAAAAATCATTGATCAGTGCCTAGAATCTGTAATATTTTGGTACATACCTGCCCAAATATCCCGGAGATTATCCTTTAAACAATTTCAACCATGGATTCTAAAAATACAGGGTGTCCCACGAAACATGAAAGTTGGTAAATAGTTTCGAATGTCGTCTTGCATACACTGTATTAGATATTTAAGACTGTTTGCAGTTTATTTCGTTTAAAAAATCTTTTGCTCAAATATATTTTACTTTGGAGTTAAGTTTACTATAATATGACTCCTATATAATAGTTTAATTACTGTTTTTTGTATTAAACAAATTAAGAAACTATGGAAGAAGACATTCTATTAAGTATTTACCAATTGTCATGTTTGGTGGGACACCCTGTATATATTTTAAAAAAATTGGAAGATTAAATAGCGAAAGATCGACAAAACTAGCCTTATCTCGCATTCGTCCATTGATAAATCAACTTTTTCAGCGTTAAGAAAATGAAGGGGTTTGTGACAAAATATGAAGTTAGCCTTCATTTTTGGAGTTAGTCTCCTGATTCACATTAAGATACATTATGTAGGTATCCTCGTTTTTCTGTATGCAAATTGAGCGTTGTCACAGAATGAATAACGAAGATATCTTTCTCATTGTAACGAGGATTAAAGGATACCGCGTCGGGCATGTTTTTTTACTACAATGTCACTAGATGGAACCCTTTTTACAAGGTTTTAAAAAGAATTTTAAGTTTTAAAGAAAAAATTTAGCAAGAAGAGTCAGAAGCATATATATACGAGAATTACCTCGATGAAGGACGAATTTATTTTTTTTGACGATGGGGGGCATTCACAAAATTGGACATTATATAGAAGTTTTTCAATACTTTCTTCAAAAATAATTTTTTACTTATCAGCCTCAAACTTTAATTTGGAAATTTGATAGAACCCTGGGAATTTTCTTAACTTGGTTTAACATTTTTAAATTGAGTGGGTCGACTTTCACAAAGACAAATAAGAAAAAAATATTTAAAGTAAATGCACTTATCAAAACCTAATCAAAATATCAATTTTAATAAAGAAATTTTTGCTTGCATAGTCATATCTCAAATCCTGATCACACTTGAAGAAGAATTGATAAGAATCATTTATCATTATTCATTTTCTATATAATGTAATCTGTGTTCTTACGTCCGATTATAACTCAGGAACCTTATAAACGATTTGCCCCAAGTTTTGATTGGGAAACTCTGAAGAACCACCGAAATGTTCTAAGCTATGATCAATAGTTCTTATTTGAATAGGTTAATTCATATAAAGAAGTGTATAGAATACATTCAATTTTGATGCGCACTGGAAAAAATGAATCCGGATCCAGGTCATGAACATTTATTTAAAATTTACTGAATTTTAATAGCAAAACAATTTTAAAAATATGTTTCTTCTTTTTTTAATACCGTTTGATCTCTTTGATCTACTGCACGTGGCACCACGTGTAGTAGTTCAAACGATAACATTCTCTAAGCATTTGTACTATTTTTTTTGCTCATTTTAACTATAAAAAAAATAGTTCAATTGAGCCGAAAAATATAAAGTTTAAATGAGCAAACAATATAGTTCAAATGAGCCAAAAAATTGTTAAATTGAGCAATAAAATAGTTCAAATGAGTAAAAAATAGTTCAAATACGCAAACAAAATTGTTTTAATGATGCTAAAAAAAAGTTTAAACGACATTTGAATTATTTTTTTGCTTATTTAAACTATTTTTTGCTCATTTGCTCATTTGAACTATTTTTTGGTTCACTTGAATTAATTATTTTGCTCATTTTGAACTATTTTGAACTATTTGAAAGCTATGTTTGGTTGAAATTTGAACTTAATTGTTTTGCTCATTTGAACTTGTTTTGGCCATTTAATAATTTTCATTTCCGGATGTGAAATAATTTTTTGATCATGTAAACTATTTTGTGATGATTGTTTGACCTAGATCTTTTCATGAGATATATTAAAAATTTTAAACTGCATATTTAATAGTTCAAAAGAGTAAATGTGTTTTTTGAACTACAGGAAATGACGTCTTTATCAGTAGTTAGAATTCGAACAATAGTTCAAACGACAGTAGTTCAAATGCGGATCCACCTTCTTTTCACTTAATTTTGATAAACCATTCAGAGATTAGGACATTTTTGATCATCTCTCTTTTTTCAACAGTTCAAATTTGAGTTTTGAGAGCAAAAGATTGTTTGCAGTTTTTGGTTGATATTTTGCCTTGGATCCGGATCCATGGATCCGCATATTTTAGTGGAACCAGGGAGCCAAAATGTTGCGGATCCGGATCCTAAGCACTGAACAAAGAAAACTTTTCAAGGCAAATCTAGGTTTTCAAGCTAGTTACTTATATTCTTACACTCAGAAATCCAAAAGCAACAAGTGATTGTGATACATTATCGATTAGGTACAAAAAAATAACTAAGAATGTCACCAATTTCTTCTTTCAAAACCATTCAAACCCCAAGCTTTAATGCAACGTTTGTTATTACTGTGAAAAATATCCAAATAATGACTGATAATTATGAACTTTTGAGTCGTGAATTTCGTAAAATAAGAATTGTTCTCTATCTTATGTGCCGACAAACTGATTAATTTAAATGCTCTTCGATCAAGTTTTGATTCTCAAATTGAGAAAAGTGCCCACAATGGATATCGATATCGAGCATTCAAGATTGACGATACTCCACACTAAAGTTCCGACCTTCTTTACAGAGAAAACAAATATCGTTTTTTGTGTTAAGGCGCGGCGGGTCACTGGATTTTTTTTCTGAAACCCCCCCTTCCTTCTATTTCTGCATCCCCTACTCCCCTTGGAAATAAAAACCATTTTAAAATTCATTTTTTCTACGGAATTATTTATCAGAATGATTTGGAAGAGAAGAAAAAAAAATTAGACATCAAAGGGCAACTTTTTTTTATCATTTTTTAGTTTTCACTTAAAAAATCATCGATTGGTCCTTAAAAATCATTAGTTTTTTCCAATTCAGGGGAAAACACCTGAAGAAAAATTAAAAGCATAAGGGGGGAGGGGAGAAAAATGATTTTTCGAAAAAATATACACCCCTAATGGAATCTAACAGACCGAAAAAAATATTGAATTTGAAGCATCCGAGATAATGTCGATAGTGTTGGGCATTCAGCTTGGTTCGTTTTCCAAGACTTTCAAACGATTGTTCTTCTACTGTTTCGTTTTAGGTTCGTTCTTGCAAATATCTTCTCTCAAGGTTTAAATTTAAGTGAAAGAAAAGCAAATATTTAGAAAAAGTTTTAAATTTGTAAAATTTATTAAAACTTTTTGGAAACTTTCCGTCCACAAACCGTCAAGTCGTTTAAAACGAACGAAGCCAAATACTCTACAAGTTAGTTCGAAGTATTAAAGAAATAAGGAAATCGGTAAACGTTTTCATAATTTATGTTTTTTTGTGTACAATCGAAAAAAATCAATTAGCAAATAAAAAAAGTTTTAATTTTAGAATGTTTATTTAGTGCACATAGCTAGTCGTAAACAACCTCTGATTTAGCGTACAGAATAGTACAATACATTAATATATTTCACAATTTAAAGTACAACCATATATATATATATATATTATACATATATAGTGTACTAAACAACTGAGTGGTTATCCATTCGAACTTACATGATACTAAATTATTTGAGTTAAGAAAAATTGATTAAATTTTAATGGTAACTTGTAGAGAATAATTTACTAGAAGTAATTGAGTAGCGTATAGGCCTAAATATGATTCATATCATCATTTTTACACTTTCAGCTTATAAAAAGCATTTTATTTATTTAGAGACAGAAGGTGTGAATAAAGTTTTTAATTAAGCAATTACCAACATAAAAAATCACATTGACAAATGACGTCTCATTTTATTTAATAAAAAATGGGAAAATCTCGGCTATTTCTTTCGTCTTTTTGCTGCAGAAACCTTTAATCGTTTTAAAAACACATTTTTTAGAATTAAATCCATATTAGATTTATAAATATACTTTTTAAAGGTTACCACGCGAATCTTTTTTACTATAAATTATGTTGACAACACAAGAGAAAATCTGAAATTTATGCCAGCATGGGTCTCAATAATTTATTATGAGAGGAGACATTATAAACCTCCAAGGCAACTCCTGAAAATTATTAGTTCGCAACCAAATGATAACTTTTAAATTAACAGAATGAGTTTAACTCCTCGCGGTTCTATGAGATATCGTTAAATCTTCCCTAGAGTTAAACTCATTCCGGCAATTCAAAAGTTTTCAGCTCAGTTTGTAATCGATTGATTATCTTTGATACATATATCAGCAAATACACGAAACGCAACTAGTTTGCAAATAATTATTAGTTAAAACTTTCTCTAAAAAAGACAAAAGCTGGTACGATGAGACTCTTAAAGTTTTAGGATGCAAAATGTTCCATTTATTTTGATTTTTCCTTCCCCAAACCTTTCGATATGGAACATTAAACACCCCTGGAAATTCATTTAAATATTTAAGAGAGTATGATTGTTGAAACATATTTTAAAACTAGAAATCTATGGATTGACTTATTAGATATGTAAAGAAAATAACAATAGACTTTTCCGATATTTTTTATAAATTTAACCCTCCTTACATAGTCATGGAGGTGTGTGAGGGGGGGGGGCGCACAAAAGAGAGAAATTTTACAATAATATAATATGGCGTGAGTCGAATTAAAAATTACTCAATAAATCTTCCTCCTTTGCAAAGAAAACAGTTTGAGTAAGATATTGCTCAATTAGTTTAATAAACTTGTTTACAGCTACGGAGAATAGGGATTCTCATTATTTCAGGGGTGTATTCTCCCCAACCCTTAAGATGTTTTTCTTTCTTAAGAAAATTGAATAAATTAAAGTATGTATATATATTATTTACCCGAAAAGTCGAAAATGGGGAAAATCTCAAAAAATAATTCCCCTTGGGAATATTAAGTGTAACAAAAACATCTTGAAGGGGAAATATATAAAGGAAGATAACGATTAAGAAACTGGATGAAAAATTAATGAGATTTAGCCGCATCCTTAGCGGCTAAAATTAGAGGATTAAGAGATATGAGTGGCCTCGACAGCTTGAGGAATGGATGTCGCAACATTTCATGCGCGGTTGGCCTCTTCTCAACCTCGACCTCCAGGCACTTGTCCAGGAAATCCTGGAAGATTGGAGACAGCTTATCCCGATCCTTGATCTCAGGCTTTCCGTTGGTTGCGATGAGATACAGAGCTCGGAGTGGGTTTTCATTGAGATACGGTGGTTCACCTTCAATCATTTCAATAGCCATGATTCCCAGGGACCAAACATCAACCTTGGGACCGTAATGTTTGCGTGTCACAACCTCGGGGGCCATCCAGTAGGGAGTTCCGACCATTGTGGTTCGCTTGTTCTGCTCAGAGGAAATTTGGGCGCAGAACCCGAAATCTGTCAACTTTACGTCCCCGTCCATTCCAAGCAGGATGTTATCCGACTTTATGTCCCTGTGGATAACGTTCCCCTTGTGCAAGAAGTCCAAAGCCTGCAGAACCTCTCTACAAACGGCGGCAATTTGTCCTTCATCCATACAGGTTTCAGTCACAACATCTGTTAGACTTCCACCGGGTAGGTACTCCATTGTAACCCAGAGCTCTTCATGGACTAGATATGCGTCCAGGAAGTTCACAACATTGGGATGCTTGTTTGATTTCATCACTATTATTTCATTAATAATAAGTTCCTTCTTGGGTTGCTGTTGCAGGTTCATTTGTTTTATAGCAACCTCCATACCTGTAGCTGTCTCTATAGCTGTATAAACTGTACCGGAAGCTCCCTGTCCGATCTTCTCCATCTTGGTGTACTTCCGGTTTGGATCTCCTATTGATACAATAGATCGGAGCTTTGCCAGGATTTCTTCATCCGTCATTTTCTTTTTCTTTTGTCGCTCATTTCCTGACTTAGAGACAACATTGTTGTTGTTATTGCTCTTGTTGTCCGTCACTTCGTTCTCGTTTATGGTGGAGGGAACCTTTAAACTGTTAGGTTCATCATCATCTTCATCTATAGGTTTAGTATAAATAGACTTGGTTTTCTCCGGTCTGGAGGCAATAGGGGGCGGGGCGGGTTCATGTTCCTCCTGCTCCTCCTCCTGGTCTGGAGTGTTGGAGAATACAGAGGGAGTGGAGCTAGATCCACTCTTCCGGGTGACAGGGGGAGCCTCGGGCTGGAGGGGGGAGGGAATGTTTGCGGATACAGTGGTGGAAGAGGGAGGGGAAGGCGAGGGTGCCCCCGCCCCCTGGCTAGAAGGAGAGGACAGGGCTTGAGAGGATACACTATAACTAGGGCGGGGGGAGGGGTCAGCACTAGAAGTGTGAGTCATAAACTTTTCATCTGTTTTATGCTTAGAACTAAACTCAAAATAATTAAGTACATCTAGAACCGCCTGAGGATTCTTTTTCTGCATCTCAATGGAGATATTTGAGTTTGCGAGGAGTCGGGACCAGGCGTCAGGCATTCCAGTAAATTCTCCAGATTCATCGTCAAATCCGACGTGAACAACATGGGTAAACTTGGTCGGGTAGGATATATTCGGTTTCTCATGGTCCTTGGACTTCTTGGACTTGTGCTTATGGTGCTTGGACTTGGATTCTTCAGGTTCTTTAGGTAGAGGTCTCATGTCTACAGGGAGGCTGACCTGGAAGTCTCCTCGGTTCGAGGTCAGCCTCAAAGGAGGGGCAGGAGGTTTCTCCTCGTCCGACAGCATCCTCACAAACTCCTTCAGGATAATTCCGTTGATTTTCTTCAAAAATGTTCAACAGTTCTCCATTTGTTTAACAGGTTTCATCCAATAACTCCTCGAAAATGGCGTCTTAGTGGATTTCAATCTGTTCGAATGTCTCACTTGCTGTAAATGGCAGTAATTAAATATGGTTTTAATTAATTTTAACGAACTGTTTGCCCAAAATTGTAAATTTACGGGACAGAAGTGTAGAAGGGCAGCAAATATGACTCACACACTCCCTTCCTTGCTCAGGTTTGGTTTGGTGAACCCAGAAAGTCGATATTTAAAATGTCGGTTGTGTCGTCTTTGTTCTCGAGTTTATTGCAATCCTATATTTAGACAAACGTAATAATAAGGATTACGATACAGTCCGGATCCTTGTAAAGAAAAACATAGAATGTACAATTTTATTCAAGATACATGAATTAAAAAAGTTACAAACGGTTAAAATGAAGGTATTCCTAGCGGGATCGGGGGGGTTAAATCGTTTTTACGCAATATCCCCCCTTTACTGAACTTCCGACCTACTAACTTTCCGACCTACTGCAATATAGGACCTACGCCAGCTGTTTATTTTTGTATTATTTGAGGGTAAAGTTAAGTTAAAGGGGGTGGATCACATTGAATAAATGACCTGCACTGAAATAAATACCTTTTTAAATTATTATCTCATCTTTTTACAGGGTGTCCAAATAAACATGGGAATTAAGAGACGACTTGAAAGTCGTCTTTGATTTTGATATTTAATAAAAAATGGTATATGAAAATAAAAAAAATCTAAATGATCTCTAATGCAATTGATATTTAGTAAAATGGGTCCATTTACACTGTACAATTGTTGTCGAATTTTTAATGAACTAGTTATATAAATGGAGTTTAAAAGTCATCTTCATATTTCAGAGTTTTCTGGTTATCGCTTTAAAAATTCATTAAACATAATCATAAAAAGGTTTTATTAACCCTCCCTGCTGGGGTACTTGAAAACCAGGATACGCTGGGGGGGGTCAATTTGACCCCCCCCCTCTAAATCCCATGTTTTATGTCCAAATATGACAAATGATACATCATTAGAAAGCTCTTGTGCTCTACTTTTAGAATCTGCAAAAAAATTTGCAAATTTGCGAAAATTGAATTTTTTATCGCAAAATCCAGTTTTATAGTAAAAATGTTTGCAAAAAAAAATTTGTCC